GCCCCAGCGCCGCAGTCCCGGGTGGGCCCCGCTCAGCGCCCCGGAGAGCGGGTGACACGTCGTGATCCGGTGGCTTCGTCCCAGGCGTGCGGGGCGGGCTTGACGTCTGGAATCCAGCCAGTGTGAGCCACCATGTTAACAATAGAACACCTACACAGTCACCTCAATAGACACACACAAATCATTGGACGTAACCCAAGCTCTCTTTCTGATGAAAGTCTCTCGACAAACTATGGAGAGAGGTGAACATCCTCTGTGTAGTGAGGAATGTCTCCGAAAAACCTGCGGACTCTGTGGGGAAATACTGGGTACTGTCCCCCAAGGCCGGGGACAAGGCGAGGGTGGCCACCTGGGCTGGGACTGTTTGGCCTTGTGCTGGAGCTGTCAGCCAGCACGATAAGGCAGGAAAGAGACACGGATGACATCCAGACTGGAAAGGAAGAAGTAAAGTTGTCTTTATTTACAGACGATGCGATTATCTGCGTGGGCATCCAGTGGGCTCTACGAAAATCTCCAGGAATTAATAACGATTTTAGCAAGTTTGCAGGATATGAGATCAATCAGAATTGAACACTTAAAAATACCATTTACAATGAGATGATGGCGGAATAAACCTGGCCGCAGACGGGAAAAGCCGTACAGGGAAACGGATAAAACGTGGCGGACTGAAGCTGGAGGAGACCTCAGCCAGCGGAGACAGGCACCGTGTCCATGGGTCGGAAGACTCCATAGCACTCAGATGACAGTTCTCCCTAAACGGATCTACAGATGCAACACAACCCCCGTAAAATCTCAGCAGGCTTGTTTTTGGAAACTGACAAACTCATTCTAGAATTCATATGGAAATGCAAAGGACCTCAGACAGCCAAAACAACTTGGAAAGAAAAGAGCAAAGTTGGAGAACTAAGATGACCTCACGTCAAGAATTTATTACAAAGCTCAGACATCGACACAGGTGGTATCTGTGTGAACATGAGCAAATCCGTCCGTGGAACGAAACGGAGGGTCTGGAATCCAACCCGCAGCAGCCCAGGAACGCAGTGGGTGGAGCCTGGCGTCATGAGTGGGCGGGGTAAGGGCGGGCTGTTCAGCGGCTGGCGGTTTGGGTCATTACGTGGAAATGACACAATCAGGTCTCTACTTCACCCCAGACGGAACAGGACGCTGTGGACGGGTCAAATTTAAATGTAAGAGAAAGACATTCTACGGCCCTTCTTTATGAGTCAGGAGGTAGAGAAGGGTTTATTGCATAGGCCACAAAAAGCAAGATAAAGACAAATATCGATGCATGTCACTGCATCAAAAGCAGTGACTTCTGTAGGAAAAGAGGACCGTAAACAACGTTAAGGGAAAAGCAACAACGTAGAAGAGAATCTTTGCCACACACACACACAGACAGACAGACAGACAGGAGATCGGCAGTAAACTCATACAAGAAGCTCCGGCAAGTCAGCGAGAAAAACGCCACATACCCCGGTGGCGGAACGGGCGACGGGAAGAACAGGCTAGGCACAGAGAGGGACCGCCACCGGCCAGACGGAGAGGCCGTCCACCGCACTGGCGACCAGAGACGCAAAGGCAGCCATCCTCCCGGAGCGGCCGGCCCGCCCCCTGGCCGGGCACTGACGTCCGTTCCGAGCGTTACTCAGACCGAGACACGCCGCCGCCGTCGCTGCAGGGACCCCGCAGGGCTGCGTTTGGGGGGCGGCCTCCCAGGCCGGCTGCGTCTTTTCCCGCTGTGGGTGGCAGTGACCACACAGTGGTGACTCCACGATGAGTCGAACCTCTCACTTCTGTGTGCTTTTCTGCACGCGCACCGCACGCCGACTAGAGCAAAGTCGGGCCGCCGAAAGCCGAGGGCGACACAGCATTTCGGGGACCCCGAGAAGCGCATGACTGACAAGGTGGCCGAGCCCCAGGAGAAGCTGGCACCGTGGAAGGGAAGGGAAGGGGAGGCACGGTGGGGCGGCCCACAGGGTGGCAGCTGCCGGGCCGTCCGCTCACGGAGGAGGCCAGCGACCGACCCGCCCACTGCCAGGGACAGGAAGGTCGTCACCGAGGCCGGCGGGCCGCAGTGTCTCTCCGGGGAGGAGCGGTGGGTGGCGGCAGGAAGCCGGGCTGGTGGGGCTCCGGGCGTGAGCGTGGGGTGGGGGGTGTGGGCGTGTCCCTCCGGACTCTGGTCGTGAAGGGGAGGCGAGCACTCTGCTGGCCGCTGGGAGGGGGCGTGGAATCAGGTTTCGCCACGGGGAGACCGAGGGACACTGACGAGTTGCACCGTGTCACAGAGGTCCTGTCCACTCACGCCTCACACGCAGGCGGCCCCTCCCACCACCTGCAGCCCCGAGCCCCACTGCCTCTCCTCGCCCACCGCGACCTGCAGGCTCCAGGTTCACCTGATCCTGCGGCTCTCGCCCCGCTAGGAGGGCGACCCCAGGGAGCGGGCGTTGTGTCTGCCCTGTTCTGCTCTCTGCCCTGTGCTGGGAGCGTGCCTGCCCACAGTAGATGCTCAACAAACCTTGTGGGGAATGAGAGAGAGAGAGGGGAGAGGTCCGGATAGAGAGAGGCTGAGGGTAGGGGGCGGAGGGGCGGAGCCAGGAGCTCAGGCCGGTGCCCAGGGGCGGGGCTGACACAGAGGACGAAGGGGAAGCAGTGGGCAGGGAGAGGTTGGGAGGGGGCAGGAGGTCGAGGGCAGGGTCTTGGTTCTGCAGGGGTGGGGGGGCACTTCAGGAGACTGGAGGAGACTGCATGGGTGTGGGTGGGGGAGTGGAGAGGGGCTGGTGCCCAGGCCTGGGGCCCAGTGAGGTCGGAGGTCACCGGCTCCAGGGCCTCCAGCCTGGCTCCGAAGCTGACTCGGGTGGGTGGCTGTGTTGGCCCAGGACGTCCCAGAGGGCGGGGTGGTGTCCTGGCAGAACCGACCGGTGGAGAACGTGGGATCAGGGGGTCTCCCCAGGATCAGAGAGGAGGGTCAAGGACCCGAATCAGCCAGAGGCTCAGCCTGATAACAACTGCGAGCGTTCCAGAGTGCCGATGAGGCCAGCTAAGCCAGAGCGGGCCACGCCAACCCGGTGAGGCCGCCCCGGTGCTCACCTGCCCTTCACAGGGGAGGCTGGGCTGGGCTGGCCCCCGCGTGGTCAGCACTGGGACCCAGTCCGTCCTCCCGTGTCTGAGGCTGACGTGGTTTTGCTCTACTGAGCTGAAGAGGTGGGGCGGGGGTGCAGAGAGGGGTGTTGTCCAGGATGTGGGGTGTGGGGGAGGGAAGACATGGATGTCAGCCTCCTTCACCCCCCTACCCCGCCCCCAGGGGCCTTGTGTTTACCGCTCCCTGCACTGAATCTGCACACCTGGACTGCGGGCACGAGACAGGTCTGGCCACTGAGCACGCATGCAGGTGTGGCACAGGCCCAGCCCAGGCCTCTCCAGGGTCTTCACTGCCCTTTCCACTCTGCTGTGCAGGGTGCTGGGGGGATGGGGTGGGGCACTTTCACCCCCTCCTAGGCCCCCTGGGGCCCTTCTGTGGAAGGAAAGCCCAGCTGTAGCTGCGAACACCCCCTCCCGCCCCCCAGCATGACCCCTGGGGCAGGCGGCAGCTCCGGTCTCCCCCACTCCCTACCCCACCCTCCTGCCCCTGCTGCAGCTGGAGAGCTACCTGGAGTCCTTGCCAAACCAGTTCGGAGGAGCAAGGAGCATCACAGAATCGGAACTGGGGGAGAGGGGCTCTGCCTCCCACCCCGGCCTCCCACCCCCAGCCCTCCGCCCCTCGGTCACCCCCCAGGCAGTGGACACGTTTCCTCCCCTCCCTTTCCAAGGAGGGTTTGCTAAGCCCCCAGAAAAATACCGTGTGGGTTGGTCCTTCCTTCTCCAACACCTCTGAGGCCCCCACCTGGGCCTGTGCTCCATGCCGGGGACTCTGTTCCTCCAGCAAGGGGCCAGCCTGGAGGAGGCGGCCGATTGATGAAAGAAAGACAGATGTTTTGAGGGCCTGTGTTGTGCCAGGCACTGTGGGCCCTGTGACTCAGGTTACACTGGCAAGGAGGGAAGGTGGGGGTGGGGGGTGTCCCTGCCTGGATGGGGAGGAGGTGGGACCCCCATCTTTGCAGCCTGGGCTGTTTCAACACTGTTCCTCACCAGCGAGTGGAAAGGTGCGCGCGAGGAGAGACCTCGGAGCTCTGCCTGGGGGCCAACCGCCCCGCACCGTCATCCGGAGCTTTCTTTACCTCGCCGAGGGCTGACCGCGGGCTCCCCACCCCGGCACGCTCCCAGCCGCCCAGATCGCTCCCGCGGCTCCTGCTCTGCGCTCCGGGCGGCCCTCAGAACGCGTCCTCCCCACCCTCTCCCGCCAGGGAAGGGGACTTTCCTCCCCACCCCTGTCCTCCCGGGCCCTGCCCTCTGCGCGGCGAAGCTGCCCATCTGCCCTCCCCTATTCTAACCCCTCTCCAATCGGTCGTCTCCCCCGTCACTGCAGCACCTGGGCAGTCAAGGTGCCCCCTCAAAGCGCAGCTGACCAGCGCCCCTCCCCAACCTGGCCTCTCCTTCCTTCCTCCTGCGCTGGCGCACCCGGGCACCAAAGGTGCCCACCCGCCGGGGCCGGAGCGCGGAGGTGCCGTCTCTGCCGGGGCGCGGCTCCACCGGCGGGGTGCTGGGCGGCGGGCGCGCGGCGGGCGGCGGGGCCGCGGGGGCGGAGGAGCGGGCGGCGTGAGGGAGGGGCCTGCGACAGCGGCGGCGGCGGCAGCCCCAGCCCGCGCAGCCCGGCTCGGCCCCGGCTCGGTCGGCGCAGCGCCGCGCGCGTCCCCTCCCGCCGCCGCCGCAGCCAGGCGCCCCGGCACCAGGCCGCCGCCGCCGGGCGCACGGACGCAGCGCGCACGGGCCGGGATGCGCGCCCGGGCCCCGGCCCGCCCCCACCCGCGGCCGCCGCCCGCCCGCCGCGCGCTCGCCTGACCGCGGCGCCCGCCCGGCCGCCCCTGCCTGTCCCCGGCCGCCCCCGGCCGCGATGCCCGCCCCCCAGGGCCCCGGCGGCCCGCGCCCTTGCTAGGCTGCGGCGGCATGGCCCGCGCGCCCGGCGCGACCTCTGCGGATTGCATCGGTGTGCGGCGGCGGGGCATGCCCAGGGCACCGGGCACGGCCTTCAATGGGCGAGGACACGGACACGCGGAAAATTAACCACAGCTTCCTGCGGGACCACAGCTATGTGACTGAAGGTAACGTACGTGTTGTCTGAGGCCCCCTCCGGCCGGCCGCGGCGTGGGGATGCCGTCGCACCGAGTGCCCTCCGAAGGTTTGGACCACGCGCTGTGTGTCGTGTTCCCCCCCCCGCCCCACCCCACCCCACCCCACCTCGGCCCGGGCCCCGGGGGGAGGGAGCCCCAGGGCCCCGGCCGCCCGAGGGGGCAGCGCCCTCCTCCGCGCCCGTCCGGCAGGCGCTCTCCGCCCCCAGGCCTGCGGGCATCCAGGACCGGCTGCGGCCGTCATTTTTGAAACGGCCGTCCCTGCGGCTAATCTGGGGAAGAAATCCGGGGAAATGTAATGGTTTAGAACCCCGGATTGCCATTTCTGCCCTGCCCAGAGCCTGCAGAATCTTCTAGGCTGCCCACTCCCCAGAGATCAAGAGGGACCCAGAAAAAAAATGCACGACCAGGTTCCCCGAGAGGCTGTGTCCTTGCCCCGCCCTCTGCCCCCCGAGGCAGGGCCCCCAGTGTGGGAGAAGGCGGCTGGCTGGGGGTTGGTCTTTTATCCCGGGTGAATTATCCTGAGATAGAAGCAGCTGGCCCCAAACTGTCAGAATTTGCCAAAAAAAAAAAAAAAAAAGTGGGACATGCCGCTCTGAAGGGGCCCTGCATTTGAGTTCCCCTAAATTGTCTGTACGAGCCCAAGCCCGGCCCGCCCGGAGGCTGGTGGGAATCGGAGGGTCGACGCCTCTCTCTCACAGGCCAGTCACTTGCAGGGTCCCTCCGCGCCCCCTCCCCGTGCCCAGGGGCGGGCGGGGAGAGCTGCCGAGCCGCAGCGAGGGGCCTGCGGAGTGGAGCCCGGCGGCGCGGGCCGGGGAGCGCCAGGGCGAGGCGTCAGCGCGCTGCGGCGCGGACGCGTGCTGGAGGCCTTCCCCGGCTTAGGGACTGGATCTCCTTCCCTGGGGGCTGCCGGACTGGCTGCGGAAAAGTGTGGGTTTCGGGCAGGAGGTCCCCACGGATGCCCCACGGGGAGGGGCCCTGGGCACCGCGTCCGCAGGGCTGGTGCGCGTGGGTGCCTGCGTCGCGGAACCTGTGTGGGCTCCGCGGCGGCGACGGCGACTTGACTCCCGAGTGGAGCCCGCCGCGTTGCCGCCCGGCTTCGCCGGAAAGGAAGGCGAGCGGGTAGCCCAGCCCTGCGGAGGCCGCTGGGGGTAGCGGGCTCCCAGGGCGTCCCCACCCCCAGAGCAGGGGCTGGGTGTGTCGCCTGGGCCTGGGGGTGCTGTGGGTGGCGCTTCCCGCTCCCGGGAGGAGAACCGTTGAGTCATGCTTGGCTGCTGGGTGTGTGTGGGGAGAGGGGGGCTGGGCTGCTCAGGGCCAGGTGCGCGCCCTTCCCGGAGTTAGGGCCCCGGGAGCTGACAGGCCCTTTGTCGCCCGCCCGGGCGAGGTCGAGGAAGGATCAGCGCGTGCGTCCCCGCGGGTGGCAGAGGGTGCAAGGCCTCTGAGCTGCTGGCAGGGGCCTCAGTGGTCTGGCACCGGCCAAAGGGGATCTTGGCAGGCGCTCCGGTCCGGCTTTCTAGAGAAAGCCTCCTTTTCCCGTCTCCACGTGGAGGATGATGGGACGGCGCACAGGGCTTAGTGATTGACAGTGAAAAGCCCCCTGCCTGACCCACAGGGGGGACATTCGCAAACATTAATTCCTCCTTCATCCTCTGCCCCCCCCCCTTTCCTTCATGAGTTCACCAGCTCTTAGCAGGGGAGGCCAGGGGCCAAGCGCAGAGTCAGGGTAGAAGGGATGGTTTTTACTTCCTCTTTATTCGTGCAGCAGATAGTTCCTGAGCACCTACTGTGTGCCAGCCACTGTTTTAGCCCTGGGGACTGGTGAGAGACCCTGCCCTCGGGCAGTGCATGCTCTACAAGGGACTCCTGCGATGTGGTATGGAGGAGACCCTTCTCACTGCCTCGGTTTCCCCGTCTGTAAAATGGGTGCGACTAGTACCAGCCAGCCTGTGGGTCTCGGGGCTTCTGCGAGGGTCCGGGGCGATGCTGGATGAGGAGCCCCCTTGGAATTAATTACAGGTTGCTCATTTTATAGTTGGCCGCTGAAGTGTGATGAGCTCCCATGGTGCCCTGGGGCCTCCCACAACATCCCCATGCCCCTCACCCCCATTTTATAGAAGAGGGAACTGAGGCATGGCCTTGGTCTGCACCCCAGACTGAGCGCCAGCTGTTCCAGGGCCCAGGTGCCAGGGGTGCAGAGAGGGACACAGTCCGAAGTCCCTGCCCTCAGGGAGGGCGGGCCTGGTGGGGCAAGCCACGGCAGTGATGATTTGAGTCAGAATTAGATGAGATTCCCGGCCTCCCCGCACGACCGCCGCCGTTCCCACCGTGGCGCCCCCCAGTCTGCGGTCCTGCCCGCGGTTCGCGCTGAGAGCACGGTCGCAGACGTGGTGGGCAGAGGGCACTGTGTTCAAATGCTGCTTCTGATGCCTCCCGTGCTGGGCGCCCTGGGACAAGTTACTGGGTCTTTCTGAGCCAGTTCAACGTTCTTCCTTCGCAAAGAGGGAGTTACTGAGGGCGTACACGGTTGTTGGGACAACGAGTGATTGTGTTAATACGGAAAGCACGCGGCCTGGCCTTGGGTGTGGCAGAAACGCTGACTAAACTGCGCTGTTACAGTGGAAAGTCTTGTTCCTGTAAGAGCTTTGTGAGCCAATAGGGGGTGCTGGGGGTTCGCAGAAGGCCCAGTGTCCCACTGCATGGTCCCCCGGGGTCGTTTGGTCCCCAGACGTGCCTCAGCACCCCCGGGGGCCCGATGCACCTCCCGTCCTCCAGCGGCCGGTTTGCTCGTCTCCAGGCTGTTGCGCCGGCTGTGTCCTCTTCCCCTTGCTCCTCCCGTGGCTGACGCATTCTCACCCCTCAGCTCGCAGGTTCAACGCCATCTCCCTGGTGCGGGTCCTGCTTGAGTTTCTGGGTCTCTTGTAACATCTCAAACACCTTGGGGAGAGCGTGGATTCTATTTTGTTTTGTTTTGTTTTTTTGTTTCCCTTACTCTTGGCCCAGCTCGGTTGATTGAGGGTGGAGGGTTGGGCGTGGGTCAGGGCACCTTGGGGTGCAGAGGACTTGGCCAGGATGTGTGGGTGTTGGGGGGAGGACTGCAGCTGAGGCTCTCGGGGTACTGGGCAGACCTGGGCCCTTGGGGGGCCCGGGGCTAGGGGAATGCTGGGAGGTGTGTGTCTGTCCAGACTTTCATCAAGAGTCAGACCCGGCCCCAGGAAGGGTCCTTCCTGGCTCTGCTCTCTGGCTGCCACCGCGGACTCAGCTCTAGGGTGTGTGAGGCCGGTGTTCCTGGGCCAGACTGGACGGCAGCCTCCCCCTGCCCGCCACCCAGCGGTGTTCGCCCCGCACCCAGCAGGGCTGCATTCACCCCACACGGTGGCGTTTACCCCGCACAGCACCTCTGGGTCTGGCCCCGGGGGTGGGGAGCAGTGATGGACCAGACACAGGAGCTCACAGCCGGGGGTCGTGGCCGGGGAGGTGGCTGGTGGCGGGTCCCTTTGGGAATCAGTGGTCACCCCCAGACACTCAACTGGCTACACACTTTGGGGCATGTTCTTCTGCGGCCCCTGCTTTCCTTCCTTCCAGCATCTCTGCCCTTGAACTCTGTGGCGCACACGCCGCTTCGTGCGCAGAAGGGCACATTCCTTCTCCGTTTCTCTAGGCCTTGTCCTTGCGGCCCTTGTGCCATGGGACTTCCGAGTGATCGTTTCTCTCTGCAGAGGTATCCTGATTCTACAGCTGGGGGCATGGTGGAAGGGGAGTCCGAGGAGGGGAGCGACTTGCTTAGGAGCTGGAGAGGTGGAGGGGGGCACAGGCCTCTCTCCATCCAGCATTTGGGGAGGGAGTCTCTACCGCATGGGATTGTCCCCATGTTTTGACCTGGTGCCCCGACAGCATCAGCTTCCTGCCCAGGCCTCAAGGACCCTGGAGAGGGGGTGCTGCTCGTGGGGGACCCAGCGTCCAGCCAGGTTGGCACCCTGGGGTGCGTATTGTGGCCGATCTTCCAACAGCGAGTGCTCCTCACGCCCCCGAGAACTCAGCGGGTTCCCAGCAGGAGACCTGGGGCTGCGGCCTGGGTCAGTGTGGCCACGCCGTCCCCCTTGCACTGACTGGCGGGACGTGGCCGTCACCCTGGAGGTCGGGTGGAAAGTGAAGAGCGCCGCAGGAAGCCAGGCCGCAGGCTGTGATGGAACACGGGAGCCCCGTTGTTGCCACCAGCCACCTGGAGACCGGCGGGGTCGGGGGGCAGCAGGCCGTGAGCCCTCGGCACTGTGGGTGGCGGGGCAAAGGCTTTGTGGACTCACGGTCTGCCCTGCCCTGTGAGGGGTTCCTGTCGCCACACCCGGCTGCATGCTACACACTCGTGTACTTTCCACCAACCCTGACCCGTGGGTGGGTGGGCTCCCGGAACTCGGCTTTTCACCTTTTCCTTCTGCAAGAAGGTGGACGCCCAGTTCTGATACACTTCTCCACATCATCTCCTGCTCGTTGGTACTTGCGGCTGCGTTTGGTCTTTATCCTCAGAGCCCGCAGAGCTAAGGGATGTTTTGGAGGAGGTGTTCGAGGCGGCAGCTGTGCGGGGGAGACCCCGGCTCCAGGGAGAGGGTTTCGGAGTGACGTCCGCCGTCCCTCGCCAAGACACATGCCAGCGATGCGGGGTGGTTCCTTCCAGTCTCCTTTTAAACGCCCACATCCGTTTTTAAGAAAAGCTGCCGTCTCTCCACGTAAACCACTCTGAAGGCCAGTGTTCAAACGGGCAGGAGGCCATGCGAGTTTCCCAGGGCTCTGCCGCAGGGCTGGCTTCTCCGTGTGCGGCTGCGCAGGTGTGTACGGCCCCCCACTCAGAAGGACCCCGGGCTTGGCTCAGTGCTCTGCTGCTACCGTCTTGAAACTCTTAGTAATTTTATCTTTGCGCCCTTGTTTTGTAAGTGGGGTCTGATGGGACAGTGGAGCGTGTGCGTGAGCAGAGGTGGCAC